CTGTTTACCGGTTTTTGATTTCGATGAACGGTGTTGCTGTTGTTACTAAAAACAGAATTTTTTGTGAAAATCATTCAAAATGCTACTTTTATAGTTTTAATCTGATTTCAATATAACTTGGCACACAAGTAGACTACACAATGATACATAATTCTGTACATCGGTTTTTGATTTCGATGAATGGTGTTGCTGTTGTTACTAAAAATAGAAAATCATTCAAAATGCTACTCCTCCTATAGTTTAAATCTGATTTCAGTATAACTTGGCACACAAGTAGACTACACAATGATACATAATTCTGTGTATCGGTTTTTGATTTCGATGAACGGTGTTGCCGTTGTTACTAAAAATAGAAATTTTGGTGAAAATCATTCAAAATTCTACGCCTCCTACAGTTTTAATCTGATTTCAATATAAATTGGCACATAAGTAGACTACACTAAGATACAAAATTCTATATATCAGTTTTTGATTTCGATGAACGGTGTTGCCGTTGTTACTAAAAATAGAAAAAAATTGTGAAAATCATTCAAAATGCTACTCCTCCTACAGTTTAAATCTGATTTCAATATATCTTGGCACACATGTATACTACACAAAGATACATAATTCTGTATACCGGTTTTTGATTTCGATGAACGGTGTTGCCATTGTTACTAAAAATAGAATTGAAAAAAATACTTTCAAAATGCTACTCTTCCTACAGTTTTGGTCTGATTTTATTACAACTTGGCACACAAGTAGACTGCACTAAGGTACATAATTCTGTATATTGGTTTTTGATTTCAAAGAACGGTGTTGCCGTTGTAACTAAAATATAAATTTCTGTGAAAAACATTCAAAATGCTACTCATCCTACAGTTTTGGTCTGATTTCAATATAACTTGGCACACAAGTAGACTACACTATGATACATAATTCAGTGTATAGGTTTTTGTTTCAATGAACGGTGTTGCTGTTGTTACTTAAAAAAGAAATTTCTTTGAAATACATTCAAAATGCTACTCCTCCTACAGTTTTGGTCTGAATTCAATATAACTTGGCACTCAAATAGACTACAGTAAGATACATAATTCTGTGTGTATCGATTTTTGTCATTATTCTTTTTATTGCTTTTGTAAAGTTTTATATCCCAGCTGCTACTTTTCTCTTCCTTTATTACAAGTACAAACCAGTAGAGCTTCAGTCTCGACAGAGACTTCTGGTTGGCATATATGTCCAGAGTGAGGGGCATAAGTGATTTAGAAACATCTCTTGACAATGTTTTATTTGTTTGCTTACAGAGTGGGGTAAGAGATAAGGTGACAGACCTGTACAACACAGCCCTAGGGGTCATCTTTGGGGTCAAGAAGTACACTGCTAGTCTACTGAAGGTAGTGGAGAAAAGGTAGGTATAAATGTCATCCTAGAATCAGTTGATTCATCAGGAAGGATTTGTTAAAAATAAAAAACATGGATATTGGGCATAATTGACCTGGATGTCTCAGTGTAACATATTATATTATTAATGTAATTTCAGAAACATCATGATTATATAGTGAAAATGCATATATTCTTTAAAAATCTTCTCCTTTGCTCTTGGGTATTTAACCAAAGAACTAATTATAAATAGTTATGATGAGAAAGGATTCTTCTTCCCAATATGTGAATTTTATGGCCCCTGGGTCAGGGATTCTGTTGTTAGGGTTGGGCTCTATTGGTTATATAGTGAAAATGCATAAATTCTTGAAAATTTTTTTTTCCTTTGCTCCAGGGTATAATGCCAATCATCTAATTACATATTTATGATGAAGAAAGGCAACTCTTCCAAAATGGTTGATTCAGGGCCCCTGGATTAGTGGTGCTGCAGACGGGGGGTGGAGGTTACATAGTCTGAAAATAAAGTAATAGCTTGAAATTTTGAAATCTGCTCTTTGATATTAATCAACCATTTATGATAATTTATGATAAAATTTCCAAAAATTTTAACACATGGCCCAGGGTCAGTGGTTCCTCTGGGTTGTTGTGCACAACAGTTACTGGTGGTTATAAAGTGGAAATGCATTTTCTCTTTGTTACTCTGATCTACCTGTGGGTATTAAGTAACCAAAGTAAGCATGCTAAGTGTATAGTTATGATAAACAATGGTGCCTCTTTCAAAATTGTGAATTTCAAGGCTTTGGTTTAAAATAGTCAAACCAAAATCAGTTGTTGGAAAGTTGGTACATGTTACTCAGGTGACCTATAAGGCCCGTGGGCCTCTTGTTTTAAATATACCTATATAGCAGACATGGATTACATTGATACAAAATTGTATTGAATTGATGCAGGCTTTCAAAACTTACATACTTTAATATTTTTATCATCAGTGGTCGTTGGAATGGTCCAGGTTTCTACAGAAAAGCAATGCGACTTGGTTTGAGTGACGGAAGAACAAAGAAAGCATAAGCAAAAGTTTGGATTCACACCGCAGAAACCTCCACTTTTTGATGAAAATATTTTGATCCACTCCCCTGGGAAATTAATTTCCAAAGACTAGTCACCATTAAAATGTTTGACCTGCCCTTTTTGTTGTATCTTTATTTTGAGATATTTTTGGAAGAATAAGCGTCATTTGTATGCATGTCAATCTTTTTGAAGCCTGTTTTTTTTTAACTCTCTTTACATTTGGGAGTGGGATTCATATATGCTAAGTATAGGAATAAATGCAAAGTGTGGGACACTTTTTTATTTCATCTGTCAGGTACATTTTGTAAGACTGACACAGTATTTTTAAAGACATGTTTTAGCACGGTTAATGAATTTCTTATCTACTTTTAATGCAATATATTACTGTATTTCACTGATTGAGTATTGATTGTTTGTACGAAGTATTCATTGAAGTATACACATTTAAGAACTTAGTACTTTTTTAAAAAAGATTTTCATTTATATGAACAGCTCTGGAGTAGCAGTTTTACTGGGAATTTGTATTTTTCATTTTGGATACTACATGTATACTAGTATTAGAAAATTCTTAGATAAATTCATACATGAAGTAGGTTGTTTTTCCCCTGAAAGTATTATCTTGAAATCATTGTTATTTCCTACATGTGTATTAAGAATCAGTTAGGTTTTTTTTTTTACAGCATTAAAAAGAAAAAAATAGAAATATAAAGTATTTACTTGATAAGGATTATTAAAATTAGAGTCATATCTGAATTTTACAGTATTATCCCCCTTAAAAAGAAGTTTACAAATGTATTTTTTAGACCGATGCACAACGCGTAATTTTTGTTTAGTGATACACAGAATGACTGCCTATATTTCGGCAGTATTAATATTAAAGCTTGCTCAAAAAAAATTCTTTGTGGCCTTGAAAAACCATATCACTCAACATATGATGTTGCTTTCATATTGTGATAGTCTACGAAACATTCAAATTGTTTTAGAATAGTGTACCCTTTATATAATGGAAGAAACCAAAGATACCTGAATTTTTTGTAGGTTTGTGATGAAAAGTTATCAGGGATACATGTAAGTTTAGAATTCGGATGATGGTTTAAAAGTATTTGTCAATTTTTGTTTTGATCTGTATATTAAAGCATAGGAACTTTTACTTTGTGTAAAATTGTTTTAAAATATTTGCAAAATTTATTGAAATACACTGACAGTTTAATTTTTCTTCTGACTTTTAAAATTGTTACGTACATTTTCATCATGTAGATTTTCTTTGTGTCTGTTTTAAGATTTAAGTATGAAAACTTCTTGAATTTTATAAGCAAGGGAAATTTACAATGTAGCAATGAAATCGTAGAGAGAAACTCTTTAAGGGGAAACGTGAGTTTTTGAATTTTCCATGACATTTTTTCTTTGTTTAATCGCCAGAATTTTATCCAAAAAAGTATTAAATATATTTCTTGAATTATGGAATAACTGTCTAGTTTTGGGTTTTATGATCTGATCAATCAGTTTGCTTTCTTAATAATTTGCATAAACGGAAAAAGCATTTATTATTGTTTTACAAACAGCATGACAGTTTGCTTTATGGGGCGTGCTAAAATTTTGTGTGCTGATTTTCATTTTATCCATCGATTGGATGCTTTTTTTCAATGGAATCAATACTAATTTGCATATGAAACTCAGAATACAACAATGTCCTGAGAATACTGGCCAATCACATTGAATGATTGTTCACCAGTGCGCATTTGTACTCACCAGCAACACGTGGTCAGTCAATGCCCGTTCTCTGTCCTCAAAAAAGCATGTATTATATTTGTTATGATTTGACCGGATGGTTTTATATTCGTATAGGAAAATTCGGAGAATGGAATTAGAAAGGCAACTCTGCTACTGTTGTACTATGTACATATGTACATGTAGCTATCAATATCATCATTATAGGTTGAAAAACTTGCTTTTTCCGTCCAGGTGTAACTGTTGTTTACTGCATGCTAGTAAACATGTCATTCAATACGATTGGTCAGTATTGTCAGTGGTATTGTTGGGTTCTATGTTTCATATGCAAAGTCTTATTGATTCCATTGAAATCAAACATCCAATCGATGAGTAAAATGATAATCAGCATACAAAATTTTAGCACGCCCTATAAAGCAAACTGTCACGCTGTTTGTAAAACAATAATAATAGGCATAAAACATTTTTTGTCACAGTGACTATCATTTCTTCCTCACGAGAGGAGTATACTCTGGAAGATCATCCCGACCCAGGATTATAATATTGGGTGGGTTGGGGAAGATTTTTTAAATTTCAAAACATGACTTTAAAATAGTTTTTAATTTGACAAGACTTTGGAATGAATTTAAAAAAAAAATACAAGTATTATTTTATCTTTGTTGTTCATTTTATTTTGCGTTGCAGACCAGTAGAAACGGGAGCGACAATCAAACATTTTTTTTTTTATTTACAGATAGCCTAATCAACAATTCTTCCTAGCAAGTACATATTATAAATCCACCTAACCCCCTTTCCTTGGGTATTCTGATTTATCAAATCTTTAACATCAATTAAAAAAAAACATTTTGCACCAGTGAATTTTATTTTCTTTAGATACAAAACTAATACATTATACAGTATACTGTTCCATTCAGTGATACATAACAATGTACAAACAAAAAAGGCAGAAAAAAATGTTACACAAAGCAAAATTGTGGAATTTCTCACAGAGATATATAATAAAGAATGGATGACTACAAGCTTCTAAAATGGCCCTTAATCTACATGTATGGTACCTATCCATCTATGTATCCATGATGAATTTCTAGTGCCAATTTACACTACACTGAATCAGAAACTACACAAAATGATTAACATAATGGTCAACACTAGAATACATACACCTTTTTACATCTAAAAAAGCAGGAATAAATTTGCTACATAATTACATTTATCATAATGAACAGAAAAAAACTTTTCATTATATATGGCACTTAATTTGGAAAATAATCATAAAAGACAAATCATGTTAAATAGAGCCTGCACCAAATTGGAACAATTGGTTAATGTATAAATCACCTTTTATTCACAAGCACTTTTTTTTTGCAAACCAACAAAACTTTCAGCTCATGGAATGTTAATATCACCTTTTATTCACAAGCACTTTATTTTTATACAATGACACAAGACTTTCTGCACAAGGAATATTAATTGGAATATATTCATAATTAAAATGTATACATGAATTTGTTTCCTAATAGATTTATTACTACAATTACAATAAAAATTTCATGAAAACTTTGTCTTATTTAATAATCCAAATGATTACAGACATACAGTGTAGAGTGTCGTGAAAATTAGGTAAACTTTAAAATCTTTTATTATTTTCTCCAAGACACAAGGTGAAAAACGTTAAATCATAGTTGCATTCACCTACACCTAACTCACAAAAAGGATTATTTTTTAAATATTTACATTTTCCAATGTCTCTGAGATAAAACTACAAATAAGGTTATCGCTTTATAACCTCATAAAGCAATTTGCTCAGCATGTAACAGAACTGCATGCTTTCTCGTTGTGTGTTGCTTAGTAATTAATACATCTGAAGGGGATGCTTCAATTCGTATTGAAAATTTTTTTTATATTGAATCAAGGATCAAGTTTATATGTAAATACAAGGAAAAATGTCTTGTTTTTTTTAATTTGTGATGACAATGAATCAGTTTGTTTGTGTGATAATTTTTGCATGATGAACATCTCGAAGCATCTACCAGCACGAAAAGCAAATTTGCAGCAAAAGATAAATGATCCAATAAATATACATCAGTTAAAAAAAATATGAAGATACCCGGTATGACCATCCTGAAACCAAGCGCGCCTGTGATTTCGTCTCGTAGGCACGAATCTATCGATCCATCGATCGATATCGAATCGATCATCGTTATCGCACAATCGCGGTCTGATTATCACACCATCGTCACCACATTTTATAGCACAATCGCCCCGAACCTGAAGGTGTGATATTGCATCCATGTACATGTACATTAGATGTATACCATAATAAGAACGCGATTGTGCAATAACGATATTGATAAACTAGGCGAAATCGCGCTTGGTTTCAGGATGGTGTACATGTATGCATGAAGTGTTTTTCTCATACTAGTAATTTTAAAAAATCGTAGAAATTAGCACGTTTTAAAGATATACACAGCATGAATATGATATTTTTAAGACGTGCTATTCCTCTACGATCGATTTTTTTCTTTTAATGAATGAATAATCAAACTCGGCTAGGAAAACTCATAAAACACAATCATATACATGTATTATCAAGCGAAATATGATAGAATTGGTGCAATTAAACAATGGTATAGCGAGAACCTGCTACATCACTTATTACATGTACACTAACGCGCCATCGTTACATGTATACATAGAGTACGTACATGTAGCATCAATCATCGCACCTTTGCATCATTCTGTTTATGCCTTGGAACCCAAATGGTACAATGCACATGTTAGCAGTGGCTTGTACGTGTGCACTTCGATGCATTTACGCACATTTTACGCGCATTTTCACATTTCAACTCCTAGCATTCATGAATTCAGGCACAGGCACCTGACGTTACTTATGTTTCTTTTAATATGAAAATATATACCCCCTGCCTACTAATAAACGTTAATGATTAGGCAGGGGGTTTATTAAAGAAAAATAATTAACGGCAGGTGCCTGTGCATTCAGGTATTTAAATATTTCATTCAAACTAGAAAAGTCAAGGTGTAGCATATTTTGATGTCTCAGTTATGATTATTTTTTCCCAGTAATTTCAGGCCCGTAGGAAGAAATTTCAAGGGGGGGGGGGGGGGGGGGTAACCGTATATTTTCATTTAGGGGCACTCTCAACTACCAAAAATTTCTTGAACACCCCACCCCAAAAAAGTTATCTTACGTTTTTATTGAGGGAACGTGATCATTTAGTACAGTAGCTATGTTTTCTACAGTATACTGCTATACACAGCTGTATATAGGCAAAATTATTGGGGGGGGGGGGGGGGGGGGCTCCCCTTCCCGGTTCCTACGGCCATGCATTTAAGTACACTGAATTAATTAAGACATGTGCGGATCTAGCGTGTGTGATTTTAATTTTTTGCTTTTATAATTTTTAAATAAAAAAAAAAAGAAATAGAAATTAATTGTCAATGTTACTTATTGTAATATATCTCTTAATATAATTTAAATACACATACACCATACACAAATTATTCAAAACGCTTTTTTATTGAAATTTACTCCAATTCCATTTCAATCACAGGTCCTTAGATTATGAAATTACACATCACTTTTTTAAATGGATAATTTTATTATTTTTAAAATACAAAATAGGTTTCTACTTTTTATTCATTTATTTATATAAAGAGGACGTAACTAGGGCCTATCACTGTAACTCAGGTGAGAACAAAAAGGATATAAAAATGTGACGTCATGATAAGTAAAAGTTCATTGGCTATTATGACGTCACAATTGTTATTGTGATGTCATAGTAGTGTAGCCATTGCATAGATCTATGTTTGCATAATTTTGACGGGAATAAATTCGCAATATAAATGGGCTGTATCAACTCTAAATGCGCTAATCAAGAGGAAGTAAATAGGGTTAAAAATAGAAGGACTGGTCCCCCCCCCCGTGGCATCCGCCGAATAGCTAACTTATTCCGGAAAACAAGAATACAACATTTAAATATTCCACCATCTGATGATTCCCCCCATAACTCCAACCAGGACCCGCCGGAAAATGAAAGAGCCTCAGTGGCTGAACCAATTGCAACCAAGGAGACACAAGGTGAAGAAGGGCAAAGTAATCGCGATTGCCTGGAAGAGAATTCGGGACAACCAAGTACTTCCACATGTACTAATGGTGTTACTGAATCGGCTTTACAAGACTTCGTACCTAATGCCATGGATGGACGGTTGCCCTCCCCAGCATGCAGTGACCGTAACACCCAAGCCGAGCGCCCTTCGTCAATGCCCCCAGATGATGACGGAAAACCAGCAGCCGAGAAGACAACAAATCCAAAAAAGGTATCCTTCTCCGGAGAATTAGAAGAGGTCGTCACCTTTTCTAAATCCCCAGAAGAAGAGGAAAGGCAGAAAAGAGACATTGTCGTAATTCTACCCAGCTGTGAAACAGAAGAGGAGGAGGAGGAGGTCAACCCAACTCCAGCTACATCTCCAAGCAAGAAGTCGCCCGCTGCCACTGGGGCGCGGCCTAGTACTGCCCTCCCTATCTCTCCAAGCAAAAAAGCGCCCGCTGCCAGTGGGGCCAGGCCGCGGACTCCCCTCCCTACCTCTCAGCCAAAGACCAGTGTTCTCAAAGATAAGAAGAAAAAGAAAGGCAAAAAGGTAAATATTCTTACCGGTGTAACGTTGAATTTTGACCCGGGTTGAAAATTGACCCGGGGGTCATTTTTCAACGTTGAATACTGAGACCGAAAGTGTTGAATTTAGACCCTAATCCGTTGAAAAATGAGCCGGGTCGTGTAATTTTGATCATGAAACCGGTTCAAAATTCAACAGCATAAAAACACTTATTAATGATTGGGTTTTCACTACTGTGAGTTAATTCATAGGTATAAGGCCCATAAATTCAACGACTTTTAGTCTCAATATTCAACGTTGAGAACTGACCCCGGTTCAATATTCAACGTTGAAAAATGAACCCCGGGTCAATTTTCAACTCGGGTCAATATTCAACGTTACACCGGCAAATAAGATATTTTATTCATTATCAAATGCGGATTTAATTTACCATGTAAAAGGAATATAAATATATATATATAAGGAAATCTATTCCGGTATAGGCTTTTTTTTTTAAGTCCAGTAAATTAAATAATGTACATGCATTTAATACAGACAAAGGCACATGAGGTTGCTTTGAAATATTTCTAAACACGATGAAGATTTTAATAAGGTGTGTGCTTAAAAAAGCAGGTTTCATATTTTAGCGGCTTTGATAACAACAACTACTGTAATTCATGAATACCCGATAACATTGTACGGTATTAATGCACAGAGCTAAATTTTGAATACGCTAATTTATTTACATATATATAATGTACACATAGAGTGTATTGTGAAATCTCTATGAAAATTCTGAACTAGTAAAATACATCATTTTCTACTATTGAATATCTTCATTTTAAAAATCCAATTCACAAGAAGAAAAAGTAATTTGTTTGTATTTAATAGTCATGCTTGTTATAACGGACACATTTTGAAAATTTCTCCTTTTTTCTCATGATAAATTGGACAGGAAAAATATGAACAATTAAAAAAAACAATAATATTCATTTCTTTTTCTAAATCATTTCACCTTAATCATGTCTTCTATTGTCATTCTTTTTTTTAATTGCCGGGCGCTTAAGTTACATGAATGCACAACATTTTAGACTCTCTTTTCATCAATAAATCAAAAGAAGCCCCCCCCCCGGTCCCCTTTTAATAAATTTTGAAAGAACATTTTTTTAAGAATTGAAATCTAAAGAATTTCATTGAGAGGGAGGGGTTAACGAAATTGAACGTACATATTACGAGTAAACATGATCATTTTTAACAGGCTAGCGTTGCAGAGAGGCCACTTTCATCTACCAAACAAATCCGGCCTAAATCATCGAGAGCCAACACTTCAAAAGAAAAAAATAAAAGTATAGAGATGGCCTACAAGTGGAAGAAGGTTCAAAAATGGATGAAACGATTCACGGACACTGTTGAAAAAGAAGAAAGCAAGCCTAACAAACATCAACGGGCAAAATCTGCCCCGGTCATCCGGTCAGCCCAGGAGGTCAGTTGTATGTTAAAAACGTAAAAACAGACAAACAAACGCACAAATGCCTTACATTTTACCAATCTCTACCCAGAGTTATCGTTCCACTAATACGTATTGCAGCGAAGGGAACGATAACTCTGGGTAGAGATTGACATTTTACAAGTTTAGAATTAAGGTACATTGACACTCTGATAAGAGAGATAACTCTTAATGACACAAATGTCTATTATTCCTTTGTAAATTTGTCAAGTTGAAGTGCCTTTTTTGCCAAATTTTGCCCCATAAGCCATGCTGTAATTGTTTGAATTTTATTCAGCATACACATTTGCTTTGGAAAATCATAAAAGTTAAAAAATAATTTCATATGAGTGAGCAGAGGGTTTATGAACCTTAAATACACTTGGTCTTCACAATTAAAAGAAAGATGTAAAACCAGTCAATCAATCAGTCAATAATATTGGTAAATTATATTAAAAAAAATATGTTAAAACACCAGAAAATAAATGAAAGAAAAAGTGGAATTCTAATTCAGCTCGACCTTTTTTTTTTTTTAGGTATTATCGACAATGAAATAAAATAATAAAAACTTAACTTTATCTGATCTGATTAGTGATTTGTAATTAAGTTAAAAAATATGCTATTTTGCAAGAAATTATTTATATAGATATACATGTTTGTATTTCAGATCACTCATTTACTTAAATTTTTAATATTGCAAAGACTTTATTTTCATCTGCTGAATTTAATGAAGTTTTAATTTTGTCATAAAATGATCGATTGATTATTGTTTAACGTCCAATTCGAGATTATTTTACTAAAACTGGGGAATCGTCGATTGATTGATTGGTTGGTTAATTGATTTAACGTCCCGTTCGAGAATTTTTAACTTTATTTGGAGACGCCACCACTTGCCGGTGGA